ATGTTTTTTCTGAGGTAAATGTGACGTTACATGGCATTGTTTACAAGCCGTTATAATGACGTCTTTGCCCGGCTGAAACACTGATTGAGCGATTACATGAGAGAGGATACGGATTGTAAAGTTGTACTCTTTCTTTTTATTATTGTTTGAATACTGCAATACAACGGACAGAATTTTAAATCTGAGACGTTGTTTCATATGAAAAGTACCAAAGAACAATGCTTAATGCAATTTATTGGATGGGAAGTACCCTTCCATGTTCCGTCCATTAACTGAAAACAGGCTAGACTAATCGATTCTTGCGATTTAGGAATCGATATCATTCCGTAAAAATGAGGGTAACGCTTTAGATTACAACCCGCAAAGAACTATGTAAGTATACTGAATTTACGGTGTACGTTTCTGTAATTATAGTGTACCTATAAAGAACATACGTGTAGGTATAAGGGAACAATGTGTTATGTTTGGGTAATAAGGGGGTAACAAACGAATCGATTGATATCGAGATTTTTTACCCAGCCCTATTTATTCTATTTTGATCGCTTCTGTAGACAGACAGCAGTGTTTATATCCGAACTATAAACTTTTATTCCAGTACTTCTGTGATTATTTGAATGTTTGTAACACAGAAATAACGATACAAAAGACTTTGTAAAGATGTTTCATATAAATGCTCTCTCTGGATCAGCGGGCGGGCGAACGCAGATTTGAGTGTGATTAAGGCTTTAATAGACATAACGTAGCTGAATCCTGCGTGGGTGATTGAATCTGTTCGCGATCTGGCTATTTATTTAATTATCCAACAATATACGACAGTAAACATACGACGCGACAATATATGGCTTAGCTGTGTTATTCAAGCCATATCTGGTATTTTCATAATAATAAAGTATATTGATATACATTGATAATCTAATGCTAATCGACATAGCCTTTATTACCGTATAGAATATATTATCTGCCTCGTTCTGTGACAAAAAACGCACATCAGATCACAAAAGTTATTTCAAACACTCGACTGATGTTGTGGAGTAAAATCATGTTATTAAATGTCCTCTTTTGTTGGACAATGCTTCTTTTTAAGTTGTTTGGGGCGTGCCACGTGTCGCTTTTTAATTGCACGTTGATTACAGCTCTTGCAGAGACCGAACAGCTTTTACAACTGCGATTGTGTACATCTAATTAAAAAAATCAAGCTTCCTAATATTTTGAGCGCAAATTGTAATAAAAATACATTAATTACATGACGCGGGCCACAGAATTAATGCAGACGGTCCGCCTGTTGAGTACCCCTGCCTTAATGTATATTGTGATGTTTTTTTTTTTATTTGTATCATATTTTCTGTTCACCAGAACCCAGAATAAGAGTCAGTAAAGCTGGTCCCTGTTACTTGCTTTTAAACAAACGGAACTAAACCAGGTTTAAACTGAAAACTGTGATTTTTGATTAGACCAATGAAAATGCTCTTTAAATGACAGTCATGTGTACAAATGATGGTGAAACAGAGAAGTTTACACATAGATAAGTGCTAAAATGAGCTAAAATCCCTAAAGGGATTTGTTTTTCTTATACACACCAGATGAGATAATGAATGTGATTCCTCAACCATTCCTCTGCTGTCATACAGCAACATTTCTCCCACTTCATCCATTTGTTGACATTGCACTCTGGGATAGTCTTCATGTAATTACTCTGCCTACCTTTTGGAGCAGCCTTCTATGATTCCTTAAAGTATCGCAACAGGGCTTTATGTCTCCAAGAATGAAACAGATTGTGTAGACATGCAGGACTGATTCTGAGGAAAGAGGAACGCTGCGTGTGAGACAGCAGGCAGTTTACATGTTTGACTGTTTGACTCAGCATCAGCCCACTTACTGAAAACACTGACAATGAGCTCATATTCCCATATCTGACCCTCAGAATGAAACAGGCTGAGTGCACAACACATTACACCGCATGATGAACTTCAGTGTGACACACGTCACAATGCAACAACACAGAGAAGAGTTTGCATTCATGTACTTGCAGTGACAGTATCCAACAGATCAGAGAACAGATTTGAGTTCTCCATAGCCCCTCTCTGTTTTCACAAAGCACTGCTGCCCATGGATATATAAATATATATATATATTTACTGTGATGTAACTGCTGTAGAAACATCTCTAGTTGCCTAGATCTTGATATACAACTAAAGATGGCCATATTTACACCTCATAACCATGAAGATTTCAGAAGTTTAACAATTTAGTTTCAATAGTTGTTATGGCTGGAAAGAAGAGGAAGTTTAGAGGCGTTAATGTTAAAGTTTGTTTATGCAGCACAAAAGAATGCTTTCCATGTGATTTCAAAACAGCTGCATGTCTCTCTCATTTTGACCTTGAAAATAACATGCATTGCTGAATTGTGCAGCGTAAAAACAGACTGCTGGGATATATGTGGCAATTCAAGAGACGTTTTGGTCGACACGCAGCAGGAAAAAAGAAGATTTGTTGTGTTTTTCTCATATGCTAACACTCCATCTTTCCATAAAAACACAGTGAGGCGCAGAATGTGGTGTGATTGTGCTTGTACTGCCATAAATAACTGAACACACACACACACACACACACACACTGCAGAGTGCTTGCATTCATAGCTCTCTAAACACCACTCACTATTGTTTGGTTGAATCTAATTTGTTCTCACCTCTTGTTTCTGTCCCAGAATTCCTCGTCCTGTCCCAGGATGGTGGCCTATGATGTTCCTCCACTGCCCTCTGGAAGCACTCATGTCTTCTCCCTGGAGCTCAAGAACATAGAGCATGTAGGACTCGAGTGTCTATTCACACACGCTTACACACACTCTTGCATATGTGGTTTATGGGGACTCTCCATAGGCGTAATGGTTTTTCTACTGTACTGTATTTTCTATCCTCTTACCCTAACCCTACACCTAAACCTCCCCTCACACACAACTACAGGCATTTGTTGAATTTCATAAAACACAGTTTAGTATGTTTTTAAGCCTTTTGGTTTACGGGGATGCATGTTTACATTGTAGTACCAATGTCATTATGTACATTTGTGTCCTCATAAACCATATAAACCAGAACACACACACACACAGATGTGGCTCCTGTCAGAGCTCTGTCTCAGTATTGATGGGCTGTGGTTTGCACGGCTCTTTTGACCCTGTTCGCTCACTCTTCAAACTGTCTGTATAAAATAGCATGGTGATTGAGGAGCATGTGCTGAGTAGATGCTGGAATACTCTACATCTGCAACACAGTGCAGACAAACAAGAGAAAAACATGTTCACAGACGTTCACTCTGTATTCCCCAATAGACTTCCACTGAAAGTGTGTTACTCTCAGAGTGTTTTCTGCTGATTCTTGCAAATTGAGGGATGACCCTGTTGAAAAAAAAAAAGCATATGTTGGTTAGGTATGTTTTGCAGCATGGCAGCTGGTTTGAGCTGGTCCTAAGCATCTAGCTCCTTCTCAGGACCAGCTCAAAATAGCTTCCATGCTTCAAAACACACCTAAGCAACAAATACTGTTTTTTCAACTGGGGACTGTGTTATTTTCTGTGGTAGATCTGCCGTCCCAAACTTTGGGTTCTTCTGTGCGTCAGAAATGAGGTAGAAATGATAAGACATGCTCTTCTGCAGCATATGTTGGTTAGGTATGTTTTGCAGCATGGCAGCTGGTTTGAGCTGGTCCTAAGCATCTAGCTCCTGCTCAGGACCAGCTCAAAATAGCTTCCATGCTTCAAAACACACCTAACCAACAAATACTGTTTTTTTCAACTGGGGACCGTGTTATTTTCTGTGGTAGATCTGCTGTCCCAAACTTTGGGTTCTTCTGTGCATCAGAAATGAGGTAGAAATGATAAGACATGCTCTTCTGCAAGCTGTTCACAGACATGAAGCAGCCAGTGCCATCACAGCGGCCCAGATCAGGTCAGCAGGTCAGAAGCACACGTCTTAGATCGAGCTCGCTGCCGCTAACAGCTAAATGCTGAATCTCTCACAGACTGTTGTGCTGTGGCTAATGAAGGCCTTGCAGCGCTTCCTCTCCGTGTGGATCTGCGTTATGGCTACCAGATGTGTGTGTGCGGCTCTTCATCATGACGTCTGAGTGTATTCTGAGCATGTTTTCAGGAGCACACAGCCTGGGAATGACTCTAGAGGGGAAGAGGGGTTTCTGAGCTCTGTACTGGAATATCAGGAGTGTGATGTGATGGTGTGGTTTGTGAGGGTTTGCTCTGTGAGGACTGAGATCTGTCTGATCTGATCTTGTGATGTTGTCTGAGCATGCCTTGAGTCCCTCGGGACGCTCTGATGGGATTGGACATAGCTGTGGCTCCGCTCATCACGTTCTCTCTGTGTGTGTGTGTGTGTGTGTGCAGGGCGCTGAGCTGGACTGTGATTTGGGCGATGGGCAGCTGTACAGAGCGCAGTGGCTGGACGGGCTGGCGGTGAACTGCAGTGGAGTGACCGTAAGTTCATTGTGTGAGCCTTGACGCCCAGAGGCGAGGGGAGATCAGAGGACTCGTAAGAAATGGAAATGGCATCCACTATCCACCAACTGAGGGTCTGTTTTGTAGCAGGAAGACCTCTCTTAGGGGGACCGTAGCAAACAGGCAGTTGGTCCGCCCTTCTCCACAGGGCAGCTCTGTGGACGTACGCATGTTCGCACTGGACACATACAATTAAGCTTCTGCTGGTCGGACTCCCGGAAGGGAGGAGGACAGAAGGACTGGAGTACGACAGGCTGTGGCGCAGAGGAGGGGACTTTAGGAACATAACCCGCTCGAGGGTAGAGAAAAGCTTTGGCCAGACCAGGCGCAAAGTCGAGATAGGAAGGGGCCACTGAGAGGGCCTGCAAATCCCCAACTCTCTTTAGAGAAGATATCGCCAGAAGAAAGGTAGTCTTTATAGTAAGGTGGCGATCAGAGATCTCCTCAATTGGCTCGAACGGAGGCTTACAGAGATTTCCTCTTCAGGGCATACAGTTTTCTCGTAGAGGGAGCTCTGGTTTGGAGGATGGTTTCAACAACCTCAGTTGAGAGACCGGAAGCTATGAGTTGTGTCCCCTCAGGGGCCACACCCATAACTTCCACAGCTCCGGGCGGGGGTGGAATATCGTGCCCTCCGCCTGTGAGAGGAGATCCCTCCTGACGGGAATCCCCCTCGGAGAGCCATCGAGGAGAGAAACCAGGTCCGAGAACCATACTTGGCCTGGCCAGAACGGGGCTACTAGCAGTAATAATAATAATAATAATAATAATAATTATCAGCGCGATCGGGGGGAAAGGCGTACAGACGACGCCTCGGCCACGTCTGTACCATAGTCAGAGAGAACCAGAGGGGACAGTGCGATGTCATATGAGTCACAAACAGGTCCACCTGAGCCTGGCCAAGAATTCTCCATATCTGCTTCACCACCTCGGGGTGAAGCCTCCCGGGCCTCGGCCCCTGCCTCGACAGGATGTCTGCTCCCATATTGAGATGGCCAGGGATGTAAACCGCTCTTAGAGAAAGGAGCTTCCCTTGGGCCCACACAAGGATCTGGTGCGCCAGCTTGTACAAGGGGTGCGAATGCAGACCTCCTTGGTGGTTGATATAAGAGACCACCGCTGTCGTCAGTGCGCACAAACAACTGACGATCTCTTAGGTCGGGGAGAAAGTGTTTCAGTGCTCGAAACATGGCCAGCATCTCCAGGCAGTTGATGTGCCAAGTGAGATGGCGACCGCTCCACAGACCGCGGGCAGGGTGGCAACTCATGACCTCTCCTCAACCGGTGAGGGACGCGATGTACAGCAGGCCAAAAGGTATCACATTGGACACCGCTGCCATCAGACCCAGCAGTTTCTGAAACTGCTTGACAGTCAGTAACCGGCCTTCTCTCACTCTCTTGACTGCCGTGATGATCGACTCGATCCGAGCAGGGGACAGACGTGCCTGCATCGTGGTCGAATCCCACACCACACCCAAATAAGTGGTCCTCTGTGCTGGAGAAAGCACACTTTTCTTGGAGTTTAGTCTTAACCCCAGTTCTTTCATGTGTGTAAGAATGACATCTCGATGTCGAACTGCGATTCTGCTCTGCGATAGCTAAAATCAACCAATCGTCGATATAATTGACTATGCGGATGCCCTGGAGTCGCAGGGGAGCCAGAGCTGCATCCACACACTTCGTGAAAGTGTGGGGTGAGAGTGCAAGGCCGAAAGGAAGAACCCGGTATTGGTAAGCTTTGCCCCCGAAAGCAAACCTCAGGAACTTCCTGTGTCTGGGAAGGATGGAGACGTGGAAGTATGCGTCTTTTAGATTCGGGGAGAAAGTGTTTCAGTGCTCGAAACATGGCCAGCATCTCCAGGCAGTTGATGTGCCAAGTGAGATGGCGACCGCTCCACAGACCGCGGGCAGGGTGGCCACTCATGACCGCTCCCCAACCGGTGAGGGACGCGTCCGTCGCTAGCATTATTCGGCGACAAGGAGCTCCCAGCACCGGGCCCTGAGACAAGGACCAAGGTTTCTTCCACATGTCTAAGGCACGAAAGGCAGCGCCGCGTGACCTTGATCATGTGAAGCGGGTTTCCCCTCGGGGAGAACCCCTTGGTCTTGAGCCACCACTGTAGGGGCCTCATGTACAGCAGGCCAAAAGGTATCACATTGGACACCGCTGCCATCAGACCCAGCAGTTTCTGAAACTGCTTGACAGTCAGTAACCGGCCTTCTCTCACTCTCTTGACTGCCGTGATGATCGACTCGATCCGAGCAGGGGACAGACGTGCCTGCATCGTGGTCGAATCCCACACCACACCCAAATAAGTGGTCCTCTGTGCTGGAGAAAGCACACTTTTCTTGGAGTTTAGTCTTAACCCCAGTTCTTTCATGTGTGTAAGAATGACATCTCGATGTCGAACTGCGATTCTGCTCTGCGATAGCTAAAATCAACCAATCGTATATAATTGAGTATGCGGATGCCCTAGAGTCGCAG